GGCCGTGGAGTGGGAGAGAAAGATGCTCAGACCCTTTAGACAGGGCCCACACTCCCCCTTCTCCCTTTGCCGCACTCCTCACCCCTCCCTACTGCTCCTCCGGCACACTTCTGTCATTTACACTGGTGACTGGCTTCGAGGCACTTGAGTTTGCCACCCCTGCACCAGGGCATCTCGCGTCCCCAGTGATGGTGGTGCTCGGTGCCACCGCTAAGCTTCCTGCCCACCACAGCGTCAGTCCTCCAGTCCCACGTTCCCTGAACCACATGGTGTCAGGCCTTGGCTCCAGCCGGGAGAGAGTCTTCCCAGCCAGGCCTGATAACGGGCTTATCTCCGTCACCATCTCCTCCCCACTGGGCACGGCTGCCTGGAACTCGGGCTGCAAACATGTCTGAACCGGTGTCCCGCGCCCGGGGAACAGTGAGGCCCGCCAGGGGAGGCGGGGCAGGGCATCCTGGCTCTGTCCTGGGCAGCCCTCGCCAAGCCAGCCTCTCCTTTCCCCGAGGGGAGATCGGGTCCGGAGCGTGGGAAAGACGCTGTCCCCATCGCCCGGGAGCGGAGCGGGAACCTGCTTCTCCGGATGGCAAGCCAGGCTCTCTCGGCCTCTGTGCGCAGGAATCCTGCAAGTGACGTGCCGTCCTCCCTGCCTTCCAAACCCTCCTTGGTCCGGCCAACGGCCGCCGTCTTCGGAGGCTCCTACCACTGCCCAGGCCGGTCCCCAATGTCCTTCAGGACCTTGCCCCTCCCCTGGGACCTGCCAGCCAGGCCGGAGGCTCTGCGTTCGCGGGTGTGCGGGCTGGCCAGGTGCGTGCCCTGATGTCCCGCGTGGGGAGGGAGGCTCCCGAGGACGTGTTGGTGCGATAGTGAGCTGCGGCCTCAACTCAACCCTCAACTCAACGCAGCTCGGAACCGATGCTGCGCCCACACTCCCGGGGGAGTGTGCATCGCGGTGGCATCTGTTTTTGGTGCTGTTGGCGGGCGGAGGAGACACTCAGATTCACTCCCCCCCGCCCCCCAGCTCTAAGATGATGGTGAATATGATTAAAGGCTAAAGCTCTTTTTAAAAATTCTCCATCTTGGCCGGCGTGGCTCAGGGGCTGGGCATCAACCTATGAGCCAGGAGGTCCCGGTTTGATTCCCGCTCAGGGCACGTGCCCGGTTGGAGACTGGATCCCCAGTCTGAGGAGTGCAGGAGGCAGCCGATCCATGATTCTCTCTCATCATGGATGTTTCTGTCTCTCTCTCCTGCTCTCTTCCTCTCTGAAATCAATAAAAATATGTGTTTTATTTTAAAATATATGTTTAAAACACGCTCCTGCTCTGATACCTCCTTTTCTACCTGTAAGAATGGTGCCTCCTCAGCCACCAGGAGGAGTCTGCCTGCCTCTGGGTACGCCACTGGCCCCCAGCACCTTCCTTTCAAGTAACCTCCCCGTCCGAGAACTCTGAGGCGGGCAGTCCTCGCTCCTGCGTCACCTGCGCAGGCCTAGAACGCTGGGCGTGGAGCCGGGTTTTTCAGTTAGGGACCTTCTCCTCTGAGCCCCGACAGCAGTCTCACGCCCGGTTCTCAGGACCCCTTACCTGAGCCCCTCTTCCTCCTGGGTCACACCCTCCAGGCCCACAGACCCCTCTCCCTCTCTATCTGCACCCCGAGGCAGTTCCCCTTGGCGGTGACCTCTCCCACAGGGTCCACGCCTGCTCCGGACTTGAGGTCTTCACCTGCCTACCCCGTAGGTGTTTCTGACTGGACCGTTCCAAACGGAAGTCCCGCCTACTTCCACGTTTGCTTCCTACCTGTGGCCTCCTGTCTCCGGGTCCAACACCTAGGAGCCATCCCCGGTTCTTCCCTTTCCCTCCTCCTCCTCCAGTCCTTTTGTGAACCCTGTGGCCATCTACCGCTGACATCCCTCCCCTCTCCATCCCCACAGAAGCCTCCTGGGAGCCAAGCACCCCTCACCCGGAATAGCTCCCAGCTGGTGTCCCCACTCCTCTCCCCTCACGCCCAGCCCATGCAGCCCAGCCCCTTCCCCACCGCAGGGGCTAAGAGGGCTTCTGTAAATACCACGGGGTCCGCTCTGCCCCGCTGAGGACTCTCCAACAGCCTGCCGTTATCCTAAGACCAAGCCCAAGCTCTTGACCTTGGCCAACCAGGTCCTTCTCGACCGGTCCTACCCACCTCTTCAGCCCCGTCTGGCTACCCTGTGCCCTTAGCTCATCTCAGACACGTGGTATGAGTTTCCTCTGGCTGCTGCAACCGATTGCCTCAAACCCATCGGTGGCTCCATACGGCACAGGTTCCTTCTCTTACCGTGCCAAATGGCTGCAGCCAAGAGGGCGGGAGGGGTGGCCATGCCCCCGTGATGCCAGGGACACGTGTGTCCTGGCCTTTTCCAGCTTCCAGAGCCGCGTTCCTCGGCCCAGGGTCCCTCCCTCCCGCTCCAGGCCCGCAGTGCAGCACCTGGCGCCTGCGGCCTCCCTGCTTTGTCCTCCTGCTCAGACTCCCCGGCCTCTCTCTCTCTCTCTGGCTGCAGCAGGGTCTGTCCGGATCACCCAAGAGGCTCTCCTCATCGCAAGACCTCTGACCTCATCGCATCTTACGGCCCCCTGCGCGTCCCAGGATGAGGACCATCAGGGGCCGTTCCTCAGCCAACCACGCATGCCCAGCTCCTTCCCCAACAGGTCTCTGTGCTGTTGTGCTGCTTATTGCCTGGTCACCCGTTTCCTGCCTCTCCTCACACACACACACACACACATACACACACACACTCAGTTGCCTGCGAGACAGGAGCCATCTCTTTTGTTCACCCACCGATCGTCCATCCCAACATGCCTGGCTGATATGGCTGCAGACTGAAATGAAGGAAGATGCGTTTAGCTCTGCTCTCCCTCTCTGGGCGAGGAGGGGAGGGAGAGACACTCAGATTCACCGTTGTCGCTCAGTGGTTAGAGCACCGGCTCACACACCAAAAGGTCATGGGCTCAATTCCAGGTCAGGGGCCTACACCTCCGTGCCAGGCCCTGGGTGGGGTGTGTGCAGGAGGCAACCAATCGATGTGTCTCTCTCCCACGAGCGTTTCTCTCTCCCTCCCTCCCTCCCCCCCTGCCTCTCTCCGCTCCCTCCACTCCCTCTGAAAAAACAATCCGTGGAAAAAATAGCCTCAGGTGGGGATTAACAACAAAGGAAAAGGGGAAGATGCATTTACGATCCAAGCTGCTGTGTGCGCTGGCCGAGAGGAAGCAGGCCCACCTTCTCTCCCTCTGGGTGTCCGTCAGCAGCAACGGTCTGACGGGAGAGAACCCGCAGGCACACACACACACACACACACACACACGCACATGCATGCACACGCACACACACACTCACACACACACCCCCGCAGGAGCGCACAGGGTGCACCGCTAACGAGCCGGGCACACAGAGCTGTTCAGAGGGGCGGTCTCCCCTCGGAGAGCAGCCACCTGCGCCCGCTCATTAGAGCCGCTAAGAATCCTCCCCACGCGGCCCACCGGGCGGGCCGGCTGAGGACTGCTGTTCCCAGGCCTTCTCCATCCTCCTCCGTTAAAAGGCGCCCGGAGCCACGGGGAGGGCACGGAGGCGGCCTGGGGCCTTGGCCGGGGCCCCGGAGGGTCCAGGCAGCTCAGCAGTCACGCCGGCTCAGACTCTGCCAGCCGGAGCCGGTTGGTTTGGGCGGCAGGGCTGTGTCTAAGGCTCGCTTCCGCCTCCAGCAGTAACTAACTGATCGGTCAGTCAGAAACAGTGCTGCTGTAATCCTCGGCCAGCTGCAGGGACAGGACAAAAAACCCATGGTCACCACGAACACAGCGTGGGGGAAGCCAGAGATTTCTCATGCTTTGTCTTTTTTTAATAAAAGTATAAACTTGGGAGGGTAACACAAAGCGGTCTATAAATAGCTTCCACGAGCAACACTGCTGAGCGTAATGACCCGCTCATGGCACCTGGGGCTTACAGAGGCATGGCCTCCTTCGGAAAACCCAGGGGAGTGCGGCTGGATGAGGAAGGGGCTCCGATGGTGCCCTGTAAACTTTTAATCCGCGACTTTACATCCCGGAGCATTCTGGCAAAAATCAATGGTCTCGCCCAGCCGGGTGGCTCAGCGGTTGAGCACTCCCAGGAACCTAGAGGTCACCAGTTCCATCCCCTGGCAGGGCACGTGTCCCATTGCGCTGTACGCCCAGTAGGGGGCGTGCAAGAGGCAGCCGATGGATGATTTTCTTTCATCATTGATGCTTCTCTCTCTCTCTCTCTCTCTCTCTCTCTCTCTCTCTCTCTCTCTCTGTGTCTCCCTCTTCCTTCCTCTCTGAAATCAATAATATACTTTAAAAACCAATCGTCTCTTAGGAGGATATTTGGGCGTTTGATGTCCGAGTCCAGCTCATAGCTTCCCCCTGAGGATTCTGTCAAAGCTGCATGCAGATGGTGAGTGGATACCGCAGGCTTCTCTGATGAGGAATGGACGTCACAGGCACTAAAAGTCCACGTGTGACACCAGCTGCTGTGTGGGCACAGTCTTCTCGCGAATCTAGACAATCCTGGGGACTCAGTCGCCGTGATGTGCCCCCTCCACTCACGTCTGAAGGACCAGAAAGGAGAGCAGGGCCAGTGGCGGGGGCCGGGGAGTGTGGACAACACTGGTCTCCGCCACCCTCCACCCCGAGGACACGCCATGTGCGGCGTCCATGGTGCGCAGAGGGGCCGGGTGTGGGGCGGCCTGGGTGGTTGACCCTCGGCAGAAAGTTCCTTCCTGCCCGGCCGGCGTGGCTCAGGGATTGAGCATCGACCTATGACCCAGGAGGTCAGGGTTCGATTCCCGGTCAGGGCACAGGCCCGGGTGGCAGGCTCCATCCCCATGGGGGGCGTGCCGGAGGCAGCCGATCCATGGTTCTCTCTCATCACTGACGTTCCTCTCTCCCTCTCTCTTCCTCTCTGTAAAAAAATCAATAAAATATGTTTTTAAAAATAAATAAAAACATTTACCAAAAAAAGAGAGTGTCTCCCTGCACGCCCCCCGCCCTCCATCGTGAGAGGCGTGGAAAGGGGTTTCTCACAGGGACCCAGACCCCACGCCAATAGGCTCCCAGTGGCCTCGTGGGCCCCTGTGCTCTGCACCCGCCGGAGGCCGCCCCGCCACGGAGGGCTGCTCCTCTGTGCAGCGTGACGCGTGGGAAGAACTGGGATGCCCACGCACGCCCTGGACACGTCCACGTGAGGCACTGCTGTCCCCCTGGGCCAGAGCCACGGCCGCTGCCGAGCTGGCCCGGGCAGGCCTGGGCTCCGTCCAGACGGGTGGGTCGGCGGGCGCAGGTGTCACCCAGCCCCCGGCCCCCCTGCTGCTCTCACGCACCCCGAGGGGACCCCCGGGCGGAGCCATCACAGCAGGAGCCGGGCGTCCCTGCGGCCCAGCGCCTCCATGTCCTCTGTGGAGAGGGCGTTTCCGCGGAGCCTGTGGGACGGAGCAGAGAGGGCGGAGTGAGGACGGAGCCGGCCCTGCTCGCCCACGAGGGAAGCGGGACCCCCAAAGCCATGGCCTGGCCCGGGCCCCACTGCGGCCCCCCTTACACCAGCCGCCCGGCGGGCACCCTCTCCCGCTGCCCAGCATCACGCCAGGGCGCGTGCCACAGCCGGCCCTGGAGGTCACATTCAAAGTGCGGCCGCCACTCCCGCCTGTCGCGTTTGCGCCAACGTGAAGTCGGAAAAATCATGTCGAACCGTGGTGATGGGGCAGGGGGGAGCAGGGAGATTCTGTCCATATTTTAAAACTGGGAGATTCCCTCAGAAAAAATCTATACTTCCGCCCTAGCCGGTGTGGCTCCGTGGCTGGAGTGTCAGCACGAGGACTGGAAGGCTCTGGGTTCGATTCCGGTTAAGGGCCCGCCCCTCGGTGGCAGGCTCGATCCCCAGCCCCGGTTGGGACGCGTATGGGAGGCAATCCATCGACATGTCTCTCTCCCATCGATGTTTCTCTCTGTCTCTCCCCCTCTCTTCCGCTCTCTCTAAAAAGCAATGGGGAAAATATCCTCAGGTGAGGACGAACAAACATATCTATACTTCATGTTTTCTCAAAAAAATTTAAAAAAATAAAAATATAAGCTGGTAGGTACCTCTGAACCCCGGGGAAAGTGCCCAGAATGAAGCAGTAGTGGAAGGACGGAGACCACCACCCGCTGCCCGCTGCCCACTGCCCCAGGCCCAGGCCTGCAGTCCTTCACCCGCCTCCTCCCAGGAGCCCAAGGCCCTGCTCTCTCCCCGCAGACTCCCCTCCCTCGAAGCCCAGGTCAAGGCGGCAGCCACCGGGGATATCGAATGGCGAAGCTAAAAATAACGGTTCTCAAAGCGGCCAGTGACGGAGAGCGTGCCTGTCCGCCGTGTCACCCCGGGCCCAGGAGGTCCGGGGGCCGGGGCCCACGCGAGGAGGGCTGCTGGTTGTCTTTCTGTTAAGTCATTGCACAGCCCTCAGGAATGTCATGCTCCGTGTCCGGTGTGTCCGGGGCGAGCAGGCCAGCGTCAGGCTGGTATTTTAAGGGTTCTGATGCAATGTGCTTCCTGTTGGTGCCTGGGAGGGTGGGGAAAGTCAGGGCTGGGGACGTGCTCACTGTGATCTGGGCGGATCTGTTACTGCCTTACAAAGAGTGGCCACTGGCTGGGTCCCACGGGGACTCAGAACAGGCCCCGAGCCCCGTGCCATCACGCCCAGGGACCTGTGAGCTGCCCCGGCCGACACGGGGCAAAATCAGCAGCCTTCCCTCCTGGGGAGCCGGAGTTACCAGCTTTTTAAAACGTGTCTTTTATTTAAAAGAGTGTGCCCACCTGGAGGCTAACGTAAGCGCCCTGAGCATGTTTAAGGCGGGCTGCACTGAGCTGTCATGGTCAGCGTACTCCACGCACTTTTTTAAAAAAATGTATGTTTTTATTGATTTCAGAGGAGAAGAGAGATGAAGAGAGAGACAGAAATGTCAGCGATGAGAGAGGATCATTGATCGGCTGCCTCCTCAAACTGGGGATTGAGGCTGCCACCCAGGCATGGGACCCAACCGGGAATTGAACCCTGACCTCCTGGTTCATAGGTAGATGCTCAACCACTGAGCCACACCAGCCTGACTCCTCTGTTGCTCTTCCCATACTCCTGCCTACAGCACAGCTGTTCCGAATAAATACTCGTGATCTTGGGACGGGAGGGAGGGTGGGGAATGGGTCCCTCTTCAGAGACAGGACGGCATCTCTCCCGGACAAAGAACTACACCCACTGCACCCAGGAAGCCACCGAATGCCACCGCTCTCCCCTTGCCCCACTTTACAGGTTGGAAAACCGAGGCTCAGAGAGGAAGAGGGGCCTTACCAGACTTCCTGGATGGTGGCGTTCCTTTCAAGGGCCTGCAGGAGGGCCTCCGCCCCTCGGCAGGTGACGCTGTTGTTGGACAGCCTGCAGAGGGAGAGGCCGCCGTGAGCTCCCAGGGTGCCCGGCTGTCCCCAGGGGCCTGTCCAGTCACAGGAGGCCCCGGCCCCGCCAGAGGCCCTGCTCCTGACCGCGGGAGCATGCTCACGTCAGCATAAGAAGGACAGGCATCGCCCCGCGGCCTGGCCCGCGAATGGAGCCCCAGACGCCTCAGTGACAGGGACCGGGGGACACACCGTCCCCGGTTAGCATCCCTGCCCTGCCCCGCCTCCCCTCACGGCTCTGTCACCCGGGTTTCCTGGGCCCCTCTGGCCTTGCATTTTGGGGACCTGCCTTTTGGGGAAGCCCCCCGCCCCACTCCCAAGCAATACCAGTGGGTCCCACCAGGCCCCCTGCTGGGAGGCAGCCAGGGGCCCCTGCCCAGGCCTCTGGCTCGGAAGCCCCCCCACGCCGCTCCCGGCCTGCCGGCCCCTTACTTGAGGACCTTCAAGCTCGAGTTTCTCCAGAGCGCTTCGGCGAGAGAACAGACGCCCTCGTCCCCAAGCTGGTTCTCCTCCAGGCTGCGGGGAAGGAGAGAGGGCGCTGCCGAGGCGGGAACGGTCCTCACGGGAGAGGAGGGCGATGGAGAGAGCCGAGGCCCCCCCTCAGAAAGTCCAACCCCCCAAATCCATGCTCACAGGTAAAGTAAGAGCAGAGGAGGCAGGTGTGAGGCTCCCTCCCAGGGACATCTCGGAGAGAGAATTTACCCAAATTCTCCGCATGTCCTAGGGACTCAATATCCATTTCCTCTTTCTTTTCTTTTTTCTTTTTTTTTAAATATATTTTTACTGATTTCAGAGAGGAAGTGAGAAGTATATAGAGAGAAACATCAATGATGAGAGAGAATCATGGACCAGCTGCCTCCTGCACGCCCCACACTGGGGATCAAGCTGGCAACCCGGGCCTGTGCCCTGACCGGGAATCGAACCATGATCTCCTGGTTCATAGGTCGACGCTCAACCACTGAACCACACCGTGCCAGGCCTGTGTGGCTCAGTGGTTGAGCGTCGACCTATGAACCAGGAGGTCACAGTTCAATTCCCAGGTTGCAGGCTCAATCCCCAGAAGTGGGGTGAATGGGCGGCAGCAGGTTGATGGTTCTCTCTTATCACCGATGTTTCTATTCTCTCTCCCTCTCTGAAATCAATAAAAATATATTTAAATGTAAAGGGGGTGAGGGGACACCTCTATGCGGACTCTGTAAGCTTCCTTCGCCAGGACATTGAGAGGGGAGTGCAATCAAGCAATCACTCAGTCATGCGCCTTTGTCTCATCCGCACCCCTGCTTCCCAACGAGGCCGGGGGTGAGGAGAGGCTGATGTCTGCCCCCAGAGCAGGGGCTCCCCCAAACTCACCAGAGTTCCTCCAGGGCCACGTTCTTCTCCAGCATCGAGGCTAAGGCTCGGGCGCCCACACTGCCAATGCGGTTCCCCACCAGGCTGGATGCGATCGGGAACAAGACCAGGTCAGAGCAGGGAGGGGCCTCGGAGACAAGCTAAGCCAGGATGCCTGGCACACACAGCCCCACTTCCTGCTCTGCTCCATTCCAGACACCAATAACCGATTGCTGCATTCTTTTCCATCGAGCCCAGGCAACCAATCGATGTGTCTCTCTCACATCAATGTTTCTCTCTCTCCCTCTCTCTCTCTCTCTCTCTCTCTCTCTCTCTCTCTCTCTCTCTCTCTCTCTCTCTCTCAATGAAAAAAATATCCTCTGGTGAGAATTTTTTTTTTTAAGTATTTAGTCCACCCCAAGATCTTCAACTCACAGATAGGGAAGCAAGACCCTGAGAGGAGAAGGGACCTCGCCAAAGTCACCCAGAAAGACTCCAGTGTCCTGACTCCAAACCCTATGGCATCTCCCTCTCACCCCACTGCCTGGGGGGGTCGGGGGGGAGCAAAATGAAGTCCGAGACCTTCAGAACTGGCCCATCCCTCACCACCCCATCATGCCGGCTCCCCGGACAGCGGGACAGACACAGAGGCTTACCTGAGCCACCTCAAGCTCTGGTGGTCGCCCAGGGCTTCCGCCAGGGCCTGCGCCCCCGTGTCCCCCACCTCGTTGCCCCAGAACCTGAAAGGCCAGCAGAGGCAACAGACAGTGTCAGGGAGGCCGCGCCTTCTGCTCTAGACAGGCTGTGAGTGCTCCAGCGGGTCCTCCCTCCAGGGCCCGCCGAGGGCAGCACCCCCCACCCCCCAATCCCCACCCCCGGTCTCAGAGAGGCTCCGTGGGGCTCCGGCTCCCAGCCAGGCGGCTGTCCCCATGGTCCCGGAGGGATGGCCAAACCTTCCCCTCTGACTTTGTGGCCGCTTCACGCCCGACTTACAGGACGGAGAGGCCCACCCCTCGCATGCCCTCCGGGATGGGGAACTCACTCCCCATGGCTGTGCCATCTTTCAGACATTTAGGTCAGATCAGCTTCCTGGGAGCGGTGCCCACGGGCGCCTGGGCCTGCTGGGGGTGTCGCCTTGGGGGAGCCGTCTCCCCACACACAGGAGGCTCCCCTCGGGGCTGCCCATTCCCTACTTCCCATCCCCGCCCCCAGCCTGTCAGATGCCCCTCCCCTCGCTGGCAGGAACTTTGAAGGACCTGGTCCAGCCGCCAGCTCCCCCATGTCCTTCTCTTCCCAGGTGGGAGCTTTGGGACACGACTGATGCTGGGCGCTGTCCTCAGCGGGCCCCTTAGCTGGTCTGGGAGGGGCCCGGGCCACGGCTGCCTCAGAGCCCCCGTGGTTCCCACATACAGACAGAGGTGAGGAGCAAGGACCCGGACTTCCTGCCACCGTGCGGGCACTGCCCTCCCCCAGCCCTGCCATCCTCCACTTCCTGTTTGCTGGGGGGAAGCAGGTGCCAGGTGGCCACGGGCCGCCCACTGGCTCCCCGCCTCACCCTCCCCAGGAGCTCCCCCTGCCCCACAGCCCTCCCACAACCCCCCCCCCAGCCCCAAGCCCAGAACCCCACCTACCCCAGGAACTGCAGCGAGGAGTTGTCCCTGAGCCCCCGGGCCAGCACCTGAGCCCCCGCCGCTGTGATGCGGTTGTTCCCCAGCCTGGAGGGAAGGAGAGGAGGCTGGGAGGACATGGCGGGGACCGGGGCTGCTGGGACAGTGCAGCCGGGACAGAGGGGCCTGGGCAGACGCCTTGGGCACCTGCCTGCAGGATGTGTGTGCTATCAGTGCTGGTGCTGCCCTGCCTGCAGGATGTGTGTGCTATCCGTGTGGGGCCTGCCCTGCCTGCAGGATGTGTGTGCTATGTGTGCTGGGGCTGCCCTGCCTGCAGGATGTGTGTGCTATGTGTGCTGGGGCTGCCCTGCCTGCAGGATGTGTGTGCTATGTGTGCTGGGGCTGCCCTGCCTGCAGGATGTGTGTGCTATGTGTGCTGGGGCTGCCCTGCCTGCAGGATGTGTGTGCTATGTGTGCTGGGGCTGCCCTGCCTGCAGGATGTGTGTGCTATGTGTGCTGGGGCTGCCCTGCATGCAGGATGTGTGTGCTATGTGTGCTGGGGCTGCCCTGCCTGCAGGATGTGTGTTCTAGGATGTGTGTGCTATGTGTGCTGGGGCTGCCCTGCCTGCAGGATGTGTGTGCTATGTGTGCTGGGGCTGCCCTGCCTGCAGGATGTGTGTGCTATGTGTGCTGGGGCTGCCCTGCCTGCAGGATGTGTGTTCTAGGATGTGTGTGCTATGTGTGCTGGGGCTGCCCTGCCCGCAGGATGTGTGTGCTATGTGTGCTGGGGCTGCCCTGCCCGCAGGATGTGTGTGCTATGTGTGCTGGGGCTGCCCTGCCTGCAGGATGTGTGTTCTGGGATGTGTGTGCGATCCGTGCTGGGGTCTGCCTATGGCTTCTGAGACTCCCTTCCCCACAGCACAGGGACAGGAGAGGCAGGGGTGGGGGGACAGGCACAGGCAGGAGCCCCGGGAGGCAGAGGTCCTGAAAGGTGGATCCCCTCCCCTCCCGGGTAGCCCTCAGCCCAGCAGGTCCAGGGCTGGCTGGCGAGGTCACAGCGTTAGCCAAACCCTCTCCCCTCCCTCTGCGTTCGGCAGGAATCGCCCACCCAGCAGAGGCCAAGCCAGGGAGAAGGGAGCTGGGGGGAGCCAGCGCCCAGGACAGGGGACAGCTCACCTCAGCGCCAGGAAGTTCTGTCGGCACTTCAGGAGCCGCGCCAGGGCCTGGGCACAGCCGTCCGTCAGCTTGTTGTTGAATAAACTGGAAAGTTAGAGAGACATGGAGACCAGACACAGCGAACAGCGACCCCCCTCCTCCCCCCGAAAACCCAGGGCAGCCCGTCCCCCCAGGATGGGAGGCACCCGCACCCTTCAGCCACGCAAACGCCCGCCCAGCCCGTCCCAGCCCGTCCCGGGACCCGGCCCAGCCGCGGCCCAGCCCGACTCACGCCAGCTTCTGCAGCTCCTCACAGCGCAGGGCGTGCTCGGCGAGCGTGCAGACGCCGCGGTCCGAGAGGTTGTTGTCTCGCAGGCTGCAAACACCAAGCAAACCAGCTGGAAACGGAGCTCCGGAAAGGGGGGAATGAACCGGACCTCAACAGGGATGTTCGCTCAGCCCCAAAGCGCCAGCATCTGTGCTTCGGGAAATGCCGCCGCGATGGGGCCCCCAGGAGGCCAGGCCCCCCATCCCTGGTCAGGGCTGATGTCCTGCACGGTGTGGGGGACGGCCCAGGAACTGGGGGCCCAGCGCTCCTGCTGAACAGCACAGGGCCCCTCGGGGAGGCACAGACCATGGGGGAGGCATCCTTTCCAGCGGTGGGCAAGGGAAACGGCCGTCAGAGAGGCCTCCTAGGAGGTTCCGAGGTTGAAAAACAATAATAATCTATATATATAAAAGGCTAAGTGACCGACCATACGACCATACGACCGACCAGCCAGTGCAATATGATGCACACCGGCAATTTAAAAATCCACGTTGACTTGGGCATATAAAGCTCTCGCTGGCGCCCATCGTAAGGGTGTGTTTCGATCTGTCATCGTCGATTGTGAATTTGGTTGACACTTCTATCATAGAGCAAGGGCAAACAGCAATATTAATATTAATTCCTTCTAACTAATTTCCTTTCCAGGTGCAGGAATCCGTGCACTGGGCCACTAGTAATAATAATAAAAGGGAAGGTCAGGGCACAGGCCCCGGTTGCTGGCTCCATCCCCAGTGGGGGGCGTGCAAGAGGCAGCCGATCCATGATTCTCTCTCATCACTGATGTTTCTCTCTCCCTCTCCCTCTCTCCCTTCCTCTCTGAAATTAATACAAATACATTTTTTAAAAGAAAGAAAAAGAAGTCTCTGCTTCGGCCGAGGTGGTGTGGCTCCCCATGTGCCCCAGGAGAGGTGGCCCCTTGATGGGGGCCCAGTAAACCCCCTGGGAGGCCAAGTGTGGAGGATGGTGCTGAGACACAGCGTCCGCTTTCTGAGAGGCTGCGAATGGGAGCAGGACAGCCCCTCCCGAGGCAGGAAGGGAGGCTGGGGCTGGCATCATGCTGGCCGCCAGGCAGGGGCACGCCCTCCGTGCTCACCCGGCCGAGACGGGGGAGGCCCCGGTGCCAGCGCAGTGACCTTCCAAAGGGGAACTCACGCCCTCAGAGGGCAGAGGCAGTGAGGGTGACGCCAGAGCCGCCTCCAGAGCCAGCCTGACATGAGGAACAAAAGCGCAGGCGGCCCAGCGGGCAGGGCTCGGTGGTTGAGCACTGACCTGTGAACCAGGTGGTCACAGTGTGATTCCCGGTCGGGCACAGGCCTGGGCTGTGGGCTCCATCGCCCATGTGGGGCATGCAGGAGGCGGCCGGTCCATGACTCTCTCTCATCATTGGTGTTTCTATCTCTCTCTCCCTTCCTCTCTGACATCAGTAAAAATATGTATAGATATATACGTAGATCCTACATGATAAAGAGCTAATATGCTAATTAGACCGAACAGCAGGTGACTGTCCGGATGACCTTCCAGACAAAGCCAGGGCCGTGAGGGGCTGCGAGGGCCGAGCCCCTTGCATGAATTTGGGGTGTCGGGCCTCTAGCACAGTGTTTCCCACACTTCTGACATATGTGTACCCCTTCTATAATTTCCGTAACGCTGAGTACCCCTCGTACTCATGAGAACGTAGAATTAGGCGCAGCTAAGCACAGTGCAGTGCACATCCCCACCAAACTCCGGTGCAACGCGCACCCCCACCAGACTCTTCCCGTGTCCCTGGGGGGACGCGGACCACACTTTGGGAAACACTGCTCTAGCAGAATATAAAAAGCTCAGGCAGAGTCCCACAGCCACGGGGGCCCCAGCATTCCCGTCTTGCCGGGATTTTACAGTTTCTGATGGGGCACAATCGCCCTTGGTTTGAGCAGCTCCCGACACTGGCACCGACAGTGAACAATGTTGCCAGTGGCGCCCAGGTGGTCAGGGGGCCTCTCGAGTCGTCCACCCACAGACAGGCTGCCAGGAGGGAACGGGGACTCGTAACCACGGAAGGGGGGGGGCGGTGGTTAGGGCTTGTGTCTCCCAGCTCCGCCATTGCCCACGTGAACTCAGTCATGTCACATCACGCCTCTGAGCCCCAGTGCAGACTGATGAGGATGAGAGTGTCCCTGTGATGGTCAGGGGCGGCTGTGCGGGTCCCAGGGGTTGCTCTGGGGCGGGCGGGGCACACCCATCACTGGGCTGTCCTGCGGGTTAGGGCGGGGATCATTGTCCTAGATTTAAACAGAGGCCCGGGCCCAGCAGGAAAGCTATGCAATACATGCAAATTATACGCAAACAGTGTAACGTATGCAAATTAATTATACAAGTGTCTAACCACGTTGCTGTGCACCTGAAATAAACGTAAAAAATAAAACAGCCGGGCCGGCGTGGCTCAGATGAACCAGCGTCGGTCTATGAACCAGGCATCACTGTTCCATTCCCTGTTAGGACACAGGCCCGGGGTGCGGGCTCGGTCCCCGGTGAGGGGCGTGCAACCCATGATCCTCTCCCATCCTTGACGTTTCCATCTCTCTCTCTCTCTCCCTTCCTCTCTGAAACCCATCCTATATAATAAAAGGCTAATATGCAAATAGACCAAATGGTGGGAAGACTGGTTGTTATTAAATGCACTGACCACCAGGGGGCAGATGCCCAACACAGGAGCTGTCCCATGGTGGTCAGAGCGCACCCCAGGGGAGCACTGCTCAGCCAGAAACCAGCTCAAGGCGAGGAGTGCAGCAGCCGTGGCGGGAGCCTCTCTGCCTCCGTGACAGTCAGACATCCCCCCAAGGGCTCCCGGATTGCAAGAGGGCACAGGCTGGGCTGAGGGAACCCCCCATCCCGAATGCACTAATTTCTATTAAAAATATCTTTTAAAATAATAAAATAGCTGAAACCGGTGTGGCTCAGTGGATAGAGCGTCGGCCTGCAGACTCAAGAGTCCCAGGTCCGATTCCAGTCAAGGGCATGTACCTCGGTTGCGGGCACATCCCCAGTGGGGGGCGTGCAGGAGGCAGCTGATGGATGTTTCTCTCTCGTTAGTTTCTAGCTCTCTATCCCTCTTCCTTCCTCTCTGTAAAAAATTCAATAAAACATATATTTTTAAAAAAATAAAATAATAAAATAAACGAAGGCGCAGACTGGGGAAGGGACCCGGCCGGGCTGTACAGAGAGGCTGCAGGCTGGGCCTGGGCCTGATCCCCTGGGCCCCTACAGGGGTCCCCACACCCACACCTGCCCCTGCCCCTGCCCCCTGAACCTGCCCCTGTCCCTGCCCCTGCCCCTGCCCCTGCCCCTGCCCCCGGCCCCTGCCCCCTGCCCCTGCCCCCTGCCCCTGTCCCTGCCCCTGCCCCTGCCCCTGCCCTCTGCCCCTGCCCCTGCCCCTGCCCCCTGCCCCTGTCCCTGCCCCTGCCCCCTGCCCCTGCCCCTGCCCCTGCCCCTGCCCCTGCCCCTGCCCCCGCCCCCGCACAGGGACGCCGCCCTCACCTCACCCCCAGCACCGCCCGCGACACTCACTACAGAGCCTTGCAGACCGCCAGGCAGGGCAGCAGCTGCTCCACGCCCACGTCGCCCACGGCGTTGTGGTCCAGCTGCAGGGCCACGGGCCGCCGCAGGTGGCGCAGCACGAAGGCCAGGGCGGCGCACTCGGCGGGGCCCACGCCGCAGAAGGTCAGCTTGAGGTGGCCCACGTCCAGGCCCCGCGCGGCCCGGCGCGCCAGCCGCTCCTCCCGCAGCTCGTGCAGGCTGCGCACCAGCCAGAGGAAGCCGGGCAGGGCGTGCACGCTCTTGGCCTCGCCGGGCAGGGCGGGCGGGATGGCGCAGAAGTGCCTGCGGAGGCTGCGGGCCAGGCACCGGCGGGCGCAGGCCCGGCGCCGCAGCAGGGCCTTCTGGGACGCCTGGCAGGCGGCCAGCAGGCCCCGGTGCTCCCCGGACAGCAGCCCCGCCAGGAAGGCGGCCGTCATCTGCAGGTTGTGCGGCTCGGCCCGCCGCAGCCAGGCCTCCACGCCGCCCTCCTCCTCCTCCTCTCCCTCCTCCTCCTCCTCCTCCTCGCCCGGCGGGCCCCGCACACACAGCGCAGGCAGCAGCCGGGCCAGCAGCGAGCTGCCTGTCGGCGGGCGGCCGTTAAAGAGGTGCCGGAGCCAGGACGGCCTCACGTCGGCGCCCAGCACCAGGTAGAAGGCGGCGAAGAAGCACTGGAAGGTGATATGCAGGAACTCCAGGGGCGGCGGGCCGGCGGGCGCCACGCTGCTCTTGGCGGGCACCAGGAAGCCGAGGGAGACGTCCGCCCCGTCCACGCCCGCCGCCTGCAGCTGCGCGGCCGAGAACACGTAGCAGCTGGCGCCCAGGCCCCGGAGCGCCAGGCGGCCCAGGTGCAGGAGGGCGGGCAGCCTGGCCCGGAGCAGGCCGGGCCCCGGGCCGTGGGGGGCGGCGTCCGGCGGGCCGGCGCGGAGCAGGAAGTGCTGCAGGATCAGCAGGTACATGTCCGTGGTGGTCCGCGGCGAGCCCCCGGCCTGCAGCAGCAGCTCCCGGTGGCACTTGGACACCATCCAGGCGAAGACGGGCCGGTGGCACAGGCCATGCAGGGCGGAGGCGGCCCGGAGCAGGCGCACCAGGCGGTCGGCCACGCCCGGCTCCCGGTGGCGCTTCCGCAGGTACCGCTCGATGCCGTCCTCGGAGAAGCCGCGGAGGAGGAGCTCGGCCCGCAGGTGCCGGCGGAGGGCGGCGGACACGGCGTCCGGGCGGCTGGTCAGCAGCTTGCGGGCGTCCTTGAGCAGGTTGCCCTGCAGGAGGTTGAAGAGCAGGCTCTGCACGGACGTGGGGTCGGTCGGGGAGCAGTGCCGCTCGGCGGCCGCCTCGTCCGTGAAGCGGTGCGGGAACTCGTCGAAGCCGTCGAAGGTGAGGAGCACGCGGTGGGGGTGGGCGAGGAGGAACTGGAAGACGGCCTGCCGGCCCAGGTCCGGCCAGCAGCAGTGCTCGAAGAGCAGGGCGCGCACGGACAGGGGCCCGGCCAGGCGCTGCAGCTGCCGGCAGCTGAAGGGGAAGACCAGCAGGAACTCCCGGAAGGCCCGCCCCGAGGCCCACAGCAGGTGCAGCCGCTGCAGGAGCGTGGTCTTGCCGCTGCCCGCCTCGCCCACCACCAGCACGGTGTCCGCGTCGGCGTTGCGGGAGGCGCCGGCGCTGAAGAGGGCCTCCAGGCCCAGGGTGGCCGCGCCGGGCCCGCCCGCCTCCGCCCCCAGCTCCAGCGCGGTCTCCGTGTACACGTCCTCCAGGCACAGGCTCTCCGCCCCGTCGTAGGAGCTCAGGAAGCGCGCCTGGGCCGACACCGTGGACCGCAGCTTGGCCGTGAACTTCTGGCACGCGGCGTCTGGAAGGCAGAGGAGGGGGGGAGGCTGACTGGGGGCACCTGGGCGGAGGGAGGGCCGCCTGGGGCACGGCAGCCTCACCGGGGAGGCATCACACGTGGGAGGCAGGAGCCGTGGACTTTGAGGAGGACGGTCCCCAGCGTCCTCACCCTCCGTTACTTCCCCGGGGCCGCTGACTCCTGGGGTGTTTACGTGGATCCGTCCAGACACTTCAGGCCCAGCCCTTCACTCGGCGCTCGGCACAAAACAAGTGCCCAGGAGGCCTGAGCCGGCGCCCTCACGGCCAGTGGCATCGGTAATGAGAGCGGCCGATGAGAAGGAGCACTGGGCTGGGTCAGAAGGCCAGGCCTGCGTTGTGCCCTGGCCTGTGTGGCTCAGGGGTTAGAGCCTAGGCCCAAGCACCAAGTGGTCAGAGGTTCGATTCCTGGTCATGGGCATGTTAGATCCCTGATTGGGTTCATACAGGAGGCCATCAATCGATGTGTCTCTCTCGCATCAATGTTTCTCTCTATCTCTCCCCCTCCCGCCTCTCTCTCTCTCTCTCTCTAAAAAGCAATGGGGAACATATCCTAGGGTAAGGATTAAAAAGAGGAGAAAGAGAAGAAGGAGGAGGAGCTGGGGGGAGAGGGAGGACCTGCATTCAACCCCAAGCAGCCGAGGTGAGTCCCTGCACCACCCAGCTCAGCAGAGTGACTCGGCTCTGGGGGATCTTTCTAAAGGGAAGCAGCAGAAGGCGTGCAGGAAGCAGCTGGACAATGATTCTCTCTCATCACGGATGTTTCCATCTCTCTCTCTCCCTCTCGATTCCTCTCTGAGATCAATAAAGTAATAACAATAAGAGCGAATACTATAATAGTGATATCACCCACATCGATCCTGTGGGTCCCCCCAAGAGCCCGAGGCGAGTGGAGGAGTTACCCCCAAGCGGAGGGAGGACACTGCTTCTTAGGGAGCCCCCCTCCCCCACCCGCCAGGAGGTGGGGTTCACGCTTTGGCTCTCCTCCACGCCCCTGCACGGCTCGGCTCTCCTCGGCGGAGGGGCCCGAGGAGCAGGCGTGTACCTTCGACAGAGAGGGCCAGCGGAGCGGGCAGCGCCTCCGCGTGCTGGAGGAGGAAGGCGGCCAGCCCGTTGGCCTTCACCGCGGCCAGGTCCAGGAGCCGCCGTGCCTGCGGGAAGCGAAAGTCAGGGCGTGGGAGGCCTGCCGACCACGGCCGCGTCACAGCAGCCCTCCCGCCCGCGCGGGGCCAGGAAGGCAGCCGGGCGGCAAGGCGGGTTTCACGGGGGCCACATGGCATCGGCACCGGCATCGGGCGGCCAGCTGCAGGCTTCCGCGCACCCCCCCCACCGGTCCCCTCTCCAACAATGAAGTGTCCACTCGACCCAGACAGCCACTCCAAGAGTGGATAACTCCAAAATAAACAGACAAACAAAATAGGTTAAAAAAAAAAAGTAAATAAACAACAAAGTAAGTCCAGCCCTGGCCGGTGTTGCTCAGTGGTTAGAGCTCACCAAAAGGTTGCGGGTTCGATTTCCAGCTCCGGTCAGGACACATGTGGGAGGCAACCAATCAATGTGTCTCTCTCTCTCCCATTGATGTTTCTCTCCCCCGCCCCCTCTCTCCCTTCCTCTCTGACATCAATAAAAACATTTTTTAGCTGAAACCGGTGTGGCTCAGTGGATAGAGCATTGGCCTGCGGACTGAAAGGTCCCAGGTTCGATTCCGGTCAAGGGCATGTACCTTGGTTGCGGGCACATCCCCAGTAGGGAGTGTACAAGAGGCAGCTGATGGATGATTCTCTCTCATCGATGTTTCTAACTCTCTGTCCCTCTCTCTTCCTCTCTGTGAAAAATCAATAAAAACATTTTTTTAAAAAAAATGCAACAACTTCTACCCGCCTGGCTCCCTTCTCAGGGGAACCCCCGCCCATGGCCCCCCGGGCCCGGCTGCCGGAGACCAGGAAGTCCGGTGACGAGGCCCCCCCTCCCAGAGAAGGCGACCGCGCCCGGAGGGAGCCTCACCCGCTGGGCCGCGGTGAAGATGGGCAGCCGGATCTCGTCACACTCATACGGGCTGACCAGGCCCCGGGCCTGCGCCAGGTCCAGCGCGCCCTCCACGTGGCCGTGGAGCCTGCGGACCAGGGCCGGCCGGTGGCACCGCAGCTCCCGGGCCGGCTGGGGCGCGCGGGGGTCCCAGCGGCCACGCGGCTCAGGGGCCCGGCCGTCGGCCTGCGCCTCCCGCACGGCCGCCAGCAGCTGCTCGCAGCCCCAGGCGCCCTTGCTCCCCACGGTGTCCAGGAGGCGCCGGGCGGCGTGCGAGAGGGGCTGCCCCGGGCCGCGCAGGCCCTCATAGTCCTCCCAGGACAGCACGTCGTGGGCCAGCAGCCGGTCCAGGACCTGCTCGAAGCCCTCCTGGGACCCTGCGCCCAGCAGCCCCACCAGCCGGCTCCTCTGGGCTCGGAAGGCTTCCTGCGGGCACTCCTGCGGGCACTCCTGCGGGCATTCTTGCGTGCACTCCTGCATGCACTCCTGCGGGCACTCCTGCGGGCACTCCTGCGGGCACTCCTGCGGGCACTCCTGCAGGCACTCCTGCATGCACTCCTGCGGGCACTCCTGCAGGCACTCCTGTGTGCACTCCTGCGGGCACTCCTGCGGGCACTCCTGCGTGCACTCCTGCAGGCATTCTTGCGTGCACTCCTGCAGGCACTCCTGTGTGCACTCCTGCGGGCACTCCTGCATGCACTCCTGCGGGCACTCCTGCGTGCACTCCTGCGGGCATTCCTGCGGGCACTCCTGCAGGCACTCCTGCAGGCACTCCTGTGTGCATTTTTGCGTGCACTCCTGCGGGCACTCCTGAGTGCACTCCTGCGGGCACTCCTGCAGGCACTCCTGTGTGCACTCCTGCGGGCACTCCTGCGGGCACTCCTGCGGGCACTCCTGAGTGCACTCCTGCGGGCACTCCTGAGTGCACTCCTGCGGGCACTCCTGTGTGCACTCCTGCGGGCACTCCTGCGGGCACTCCTGCGGGCACTCCTGAGTGCACTCCTGCGGGCACTCCTGCGTGCACTCCTGCGTGCACTCCTGCGGGCACTCCTGCGGGCACTCCTGAGTGCACTCCTGCGGGCACTCCTGAGTGCACTCCTGCGGGCACTCCTGCGTGCACTCCTGCGGGCACTCCTGCGGGCACTCCTGCGGGCACTCCTGAGTGCACTCCTGCGGGCACTCCTGTGTGCACTCCTGCGGGCACTCCTGCGGGCACTCCTGCGGGCACTCCTGAGTGCACTCCTGCGGGCACTCCTGCAGGCACTCCTGTGTGCATTTTTGCGTGCACTCCTGCGGGCACTCCTGCGGGCACTCCTGCGGGCACTCCTGCAGGCACTCCTGCATGCACTCCTGCGGGCACTCCTGCAGGCACTCCTGTGTGCATTTTTGCGTGCACTCCTGCGGGCATTCTTGCGTGCACTCCTGCATGCACTCCTGCGGGCACTCCTGCGGGCACTCCTGCGGGCACTCCTGCGGGCACTCCTGCAGGCACTCCTGCATGCACTCCTGCGGGCACTCCTGCAGGCACTCCTGTGTGCACTCCTGCGGGCACTCCTGCGGGCACTCCTGCGTGCACTCCTGCAGGCATTCTTGCGTGCACTCCTGCAGGCACTCCTGTGTGCACTCCTGCGGGCACTCCTGCATGCACTCCTGCGGGCACTCCTGCGTGCACTCCTGCGGGCATTCCTGCGGGCACTCCTGCAGGCACTCCTGCAGGCACTCCTGTGTGCATTTTTGCGTGCACTCCTGCGGGCACTCCTGAGTGCACTCCTGCGGGCACTCCTGCAGGCACTCCTGTGTGCACTCCTGCGTGCACTCCTGCGGGCACTCCTGCGGGCACTCCTGAGTGCACTCCTGCGGGCACTCCTGAGTGCACTCCTGCGGGCACTCCTGTGTGCACTCCTGCGGGCACTCCTGCGGGCACTCCTGCGGGCACTCCTGAGTGCACTCCTGCGGGCACTCCTGTGTGCACTCCTGCGGGCACTCCTGCGGGCACTCCTGCGGGCACTCCTGAGTGCACTCCTGCGGGCACTCCTGCAGGCACTCCTGTGTGCATTTTTGCGTGCACTCCTGCGGGCACTCCTGCGGGCACTCCTGCGGGCACTCCTGTGGGCATTCCTGTGTGCACTCCTGCGTGCACGGGTCCCGGCCTGGGGAGGAGAGGGGGTCAACAGGCAGGCATGCAGGGCTGGGGCAGGGGCGGGGGCCAGGAAGGGGCCAGTCAGCCCTCTGGAGGCCAAGCCTGCCATGGTCCTGCCCTCGGACACTCCTAGTCCAAGGCCCCCATTGTACAGATGCACAGACTGAGGCCAGAGAAGGCCAGAAAGGGATTGGAGTCGGTGGGAGTTCAATCAGGCTCCCGGACCCATGCTCCATCGGAGCCAGTCATAAGAACAATGGCCCCCGAGGAATCCAGAAATGAATCCTCTCTGAGGCGCGTCCGAGGGCCCCTCCATGCCGGTGGGTTTGGGCCACAGCAGTGCTCCCTGCAATAACGGCTGCTGGCTGAAACCAGGGTGGCTCAGTGGATAGAGCGCCGGCCTGCAGACTCAAGGGTCCCAGGTTCGATTCCCGTCAAGGGCATGTACCTTGATTGCAGGCACATCCCCAGTGGGAGCTGTGCAAGAGGCAGCTGATCGATGTTTCTCTCTCATCGATGTTTCTAACTCTCTATCCCTCTCTCTTCCTCTCTGTAAAAAATCAATAAAATATATATTTTTTAAAAATAATAATAATGGCTGCTGTTTATCAGCACCTACAAGGGACCAGGCGCCCCCACAGGCCATTTCCTGTGGGAATTCCTTCACCCCTTCTATCCCCTCTGGAGCCGGTGCTGTGGGCAGCCCCATTTCACAGACGGCAAAACTGAGGCACGGAGCGGCTGGGCGGCCTGCACAAGGGTTCCAGAAGCATGCCTTTCATTCCCTTAGAGCTGGGGTCCCCAGCCACCCACCCACCCCGTGACCCCACGCCTGTGCAGATAGCCCTCTGCTCCCCCGAGAGGCGGAGCCAGGACACTGCTATGAAGACCCCAAACCCAGCGAAGCAAAAAGTCGGGGTGCAAACAAAGTGGTGCAGGGAGCACGGAGCCCCTCCCTGCTGCCCCGGGGCCTCACTGCCCGCGCCATGAGCATCGCGTGCTGCCACCCCTGTCCCCGGCTGGCCCTGGGCTCAGCCCTCGGCTCTGGGGTCTGGGAGCTGAGCAGAAGTGACTTCTCAGAGATCCGTGCCCTGGGAGGCCCCCGAGCAGCGGAGAGAATCTCAGAGGGCACGGGGTCCTGGGGCGCGGGCTGGTGAAAGCGAGAGCGAAAGGGCAGCACCCTGGGCAAGGGGAGGGGTGCCCAGGCCTTTCTAAATCAGGGGCCTCCCAGGCGCTCAGGCGGCGGGCATGGGGGCCTGTGGGCTGTGGGCTGTGTGTGTGCCCTGTCCCTCTTGGCCCAGGTCGAAGCCCGGGCTGGCACACCTTAGCATCGGAGCCCTGAGAGCACGGTGGGGGTGAATCAGAAACCCGCACGGAGAGGGGCACACGCCTGCCCAGTAAGGGGAGGGGAACCCTCCGGCTAGAAGCCCGTGCCGCCGGCACACGCCCGCTGCGGTAAGGGCACCCCCCATGCAGGGGGTACAGCAAACCGGGACCCCAACCTGCTCTCCCTGGCCACACAGGCGCCCCCGTTCCCCGCGCTGAGCAGAGGTGCGGAGAGGGTGGAGGCGGAGAGGGCACAGCGAGAACAGGAGGCACAGGAAGAGTGTGGGGCTCAGCCCTGGAGCGGCCCTCGGCTGTGGAAACACCAGCCCTCGGACCCGTGCCCAGGGCCGGGGTATAACCACCCCCTCCCTCGGGGAACAGCCCGGAAATGGGGCGGGCGCTCTGCCTCCGACCAGCACCTGGAGGCACGTGGGCAGCTGGGAATTAGCGAAGTTCACAACATGGCACAGGCAGTGCCCGCTTCTCCCCCGGGGTGGACAGCGGCTCTCTCCTCCGCGTCCCGAGAGCCGGGACCACCGCTCCCTCATCAGAGCTCCCTGGGCTTGCCCTGGCCGGTGTGGCTCAGTGGCTAGAGTGTTGACCTGTGGACTGAACGGTCCTGGGATCCATTCTGGTCAAGGGCATGCACCTCAGCTGCAGGCTCCGTCCCCGGCCCTGGTTTGGGCACATGCAGGAGGCAGCCCATCAACGCGTCTCTCTCACACGGCTGTTTCTCTCTGTCATCCCCGTCCCTCTCACTCCACTCTCTAAAAAAGCCAGTGGGGAAATATCCTGGGGTGATAACCACACACACACACACACACACACACACACACACGCACGCACGCATGCATGCAGCTCGGCAGGCGTGGGCAGGGGCAGGGCCCAGCAGCCCGGGCAGGCCCTGAGCAGGAACCGCCGGGCCGGGCGACACAGGGCGGGCAGGTCGAGAGTCACTAGGGGAAACCCCAAAAGGAAAGGGCGGAAGCCAGGGCTGGCCGGCCAGTTGTGCAGAACGAGGTAACGCCGGCAGTTCTGGCAGAGAGCCTTGTGCACCCACGTGGCCCACGTGGCTCGCAGGGAGAGACCCCGGGGACCTGTGACACGCCCACAGACACGCCCACAGCCACCGGGGCGGCGGGCAGGGCCCTTCCCGGACACACCGAGGCTGGGGCAGCGGACAGACGGACACTCGAGCCACACACGTCCAACTAGCGATGGCAGGGCCCTGGGCATGGCGGGGAGGGAGGGGAGAGGAGGCAGGGCTAGGCCATCGCATTTGTCACTCTGCCCTCCTACCAGCAGCCGGAAAGTCCCATCTCTGCCCAGGCCCTGTTCCAGAAACATCCACCGAGCAGGGAGATTCCCGAGGACCCACTCGGCCAGTTCCCTGTCTGCAAGCAGGCATGGCTGTTCCATCTGAACCCTCCAGGAGGGAGGACTGGCCTGGCTGCTGTCCTCACTAAGCAGCTCAGGAAGTCCCTCTCGAGGTCTAGCTTAAGTCTCTCCTGCCCCACTGTAAATGGGGAGAGGGAAACAAACAAACACACAGATCTCTGCTCATCACCTATTTGGTAAAAACTCTCCCCAAATCCCTGCCTCCTGCCCTGTTGCCACCTGCCCGGCGTCCCCGCTGCAGGCTAAACCCAGCTGGGAGTCATCATTGACTCCGCTTCAGAGGAAGGGGCGCTTGGGCGCTGAAACAGGGCCGAGGGGCAGGACAGCCCACCAAGACCCTCCCTAGTCCCCAGGCCCAGGCCCAGGCCCTGCCGCTGCCTCCTTCCCGGAACCGCAGCCGGCCTGGGTCCCTGGGGCCTGGGCAGCTGATCTGCTTCAGGGTGAAACCCCAGCCGCGGGGCCTGGGGGACAGGACAGGGAGGCAGGTCCGGACCTCAGCTGGGTCCCTCCTCCCCGGGGCACTGGCTCGGTCCCTTCCCCTCCCCAGCCATGTCCCCTCCCGGTCCCCCCTTCACCGGCTCCTCTCTAGGACAGTGTCTGCCTCCGCCTGCAAACA